AAAAAGGTGAAAAATACTTCAAAATTAGGGTATTCTAATAAATTATTATAAAAAAAATTAATATATTCTTCATTTTTACCCTAAAATATGCTAATTTAGTCTATTTATTTTAATTAAAGTTTATTTAAATATAATATAATTTTGAAATAATTTTTTTTATAATTTTTTCTTGATCCAACTTATTAATATTTTTTCTTATTATTTTATTTATTTGTTTAAGGGTATCGAATCATATATTATTAAAAAATAATTAAATATATTTAGGTTAAATACCTTTTTTGGTCCCTCTACTATTGAAAAAAGCTCCTTTTTATCCATGTGCTGAAAAAATTTCCTTTTTAGTCCCTAAAGTTTAAAATCCAGCTCATTTTTGATCCCTTCATTAAATTTTTGCTGATATGTCACGTTAATTAACAAAATTTTATTATTATTTTTTATATAAATAATACAATAAATTAAGTGAAAATTACGTGTATAAAATTACAATTTATGTAAGCATTTCATCTAATGACCACATGTACAAATTAAAAATTTTATTTATTAATTGATGAATTAAATGAGTTTAATTAGCTTTAATTTCTTCATCTTCTTCTTTCTCCTCATCCTTATCCTTGGCATCATGTCATTGTCATCCTCTTCCCCTCACCTTCATCATCTTGGGTTCCTCGTGGAACTTAGTTGCTGGGTTTTGCATGAGGACCCCAGCTTCTGAGTTCCTTGAGGAACCCAACTTCTGGGTTTCCTCAAGGAACCTAGTTGCTGGATTTCACACGAGGAGCCCAGCTTCTGAGTTCCTCTAGAGGAACCTAGTTTTTGGGTTTCCTTGAGGAACCCAATTCGTGGAACCCAGATTTGGGTTTTGACCCTTTTCTTTTTTCTTTTTGATTTTGAATGTAAGCCAAATTGAACCAAAATTTCACCGTTTGGTTTTGAATTAGAAACATTAAGTTTTGGGTTCATTAGTTTGTGTTTGATATTTGGGTTTGAAGCTGTTGGTGATGGATTTATGTTGTTGTGTTCATGTTGCTATGAACTTCATAACTTGGTTTGTTAA